GAGCCTTGGCTCAAATGATGGTAATGGAAAGCAGCTACCCGAATACAGGGCTGAGGCGAGGCGGGAAGGCAACGAGCGGGCCCGCCCACCAGCCCGGCCGGCGCAGGGAGGAGCCCCATCAACAGCAGCCGTGAAACAAATTATTTGTTTATACATCCCTTGCCCTCATTATTTCTTAGGTTATATATTAGAGTTTTATGGCTTTCCCTCTTTAAATCAGTTTTGATGTTTAGTATAACCTTCTTTTAGTTGTGTAAAAATACTGAGAGAGAACCTCCCAAATCCAATCTTCTGTAGGCTCCAAACATGCCCTTCTCCCACCATAGTCCTGGCTGTCACTACAATTCACCTGAAATATTCAGTTGGTGACCTTAATATACGATGCCTCATAATTTCCCCACTGATAAAGACAGGTTCTAACATATCTCAGAGCTCAGTCTCATACTCTTAACCGACTTTAGGTATCAATCCATCCTGGTACAAATCTGTGTGTGCGTGTGTGTGTGTGTGTGTGTGTGTGTGTATGTAAAGAACATATTTATTTTAAAAAATAAGTTTGAAAGGTTATATACCAAAACATTAACTCATTTATCTCTGAGGGTGGTAAATGGCTGATTTTATAATGTGTGGATGCCTTCCTGTATTTTCCGAGTTTCCTACAGCGGGTACACACCACCTATGTCACTGGGGGGAAGCACGCTAAATATAGAAAAGAAAATAATGAAAACAATTGCCATGAATCAACTGTTACTTCCCAGGCCCTTGGCATTGCTCATAATGTGCAAGGAGAGCTGACAAATCCTGGTTGGGGGACAGACGTAGCACCTCCGACTTGGCCTGCTGACTCAGCCTGTGACTCAGTCATTCTCTGTGTGGCTGCTACCGTAGTATAATGGAGACATCATGGGGGGCATGGCCATCCTCAGCCTTGTCACAGAGCGGGGGCCTGATGCCCAGTGAGGGACATCAGAGGGTGAGCCCTCCCACGCAGGTCCAAAATGGCCCACCTCCTCCCGCCCCTGACTGTGCATCAAACACTAATGTCTGGATTAGTTCCTTCAGAGGCATCAGAGTCACCCAATTAAATGTCACGTCTATGTCCCACCTTGTTCTAAGATGATCCAGTGTCTCACCCAGTTGTTACTGCACTAAACTCAGGTGACTAAGCAGCAGCTTGCTTCCTGTCACAGAGTTCCTTACCGATCAAAGGTAACTTGACTGAGGGCTTTACATGATCTCAAGAGTCAAATTAAATTCCCCACCTAGACGGTGAGCACCTTTTATTTGCAAGGTTCTGTGTCTAGGGGTAGATAAAAGGCTGACGAGATTCCACCTCTTCCCTCAGAAGGCCTTACAGTCTAATAGACAAACGTGCCTACAAACAGAGAACACGGGACAACAGGATTGGAAACCACCAGAAAGGGGCTCGCCAAGCACTGTGGGTGAAGAGACAATGTAGAGACCACATGACCTGGAATTGGAGCGAAGTCAATATAAATATTTTAATATACTTAACTGGTTTATATCCAAATATAATAAATGTAATTCTAAAATCCTGACGAATAGGAAGTCCAAATAACTGGGGTTCCTCCCATTCTCTAAGAGATACATTCCAAGTAAAAAAATAATTGTTGGTAGACTTTTTAAAAAAGCAACTGCCCTATTTAATATGTTGTAGCTATCTTTCCAGCTTAACAAATTTACAAATGAGTTGGATTCAACTGTATGTATGTACCACTATCTACTTAACCAATCACCTGTCCATGCGTATTTAGGTTATTTCCAGTTTGTTACCATTATATCCAAAGACTATCCTTGAAAATATAGTTTTACTCTTGCTCAGATATCTCTTAGGGGCCCATTCCTAGATGTGAAATTGCTGAGTGAAAGGTAATGCACATTAAAACTCTGATACATATTGCCAAATTACCCTCAGAAAGTTTCCACCAATTTATCTCACCAACAGTGCACAAGAATGCCCATTTCCTACACTCTCACCAACACTAAGACTTGTAAACCTTTTTTCTCTTTGCAGATAGCATCGCCAACTTATGTTAAATCATATTTTAATTTGCATTTTCTTGCTAGTGAGATTGAATGTTTTCATAGGCTTTTCGCCAATTTTTAAAACAGCAGACATAGCATACCATTGTGATAGCATCCTAAGTCTATATCCATCTGGTCTCATCTATTTCTTGCTGTGTGTATGAACGTAAAGACACAAGGAAAGATGTTTATCATCTGTTAACAGTTGTCTATATCTGGGTGGGTGGGCTTTGGGGTGGTTTCTTTTTTCTTTTCATTTTTTTTAAGTAAAATTGTAATTTTTAAAAAGTACAATTCTTTTGATAAATATTAAAAGATAAAGCTCTTTTCATTTTTTAAAAAACTTTAAGTTCCAGGATGTGTTGTAGGCGTAGGGCACATTTTGTGCAAGCATTTATGTTGCCCACAATGCTAAGGTACAATCCTGCTATTGTTAGTGACAATCGCCAGGATAAAAAGTAATATTAGTAGGTTTCCATTTATTCTTCAAGTCCAAACTTAAAAGCCCCCACTGCATCACCGTCTGCTTTTACCTGGTTTGGACATTTTTCGTGGTCATGCCTGTGTGCCAACCCTCCACAGAGACAAAAGGCTCAGCCCACCCTTAATGTGCTTAGAGTCATTCAGGATCTCCGAATGGCAGACTATAGGGTCCTGAAGACCACAAATGGAAGGGGAGCTTATAACAATAGCAAATGTATATTGAAGACTCATTATGTGCTGGGTCCTGTTCTAAGTCCCCATTACCACCCCCAGAGATGGGCTCCCTTATTACCCTGATGTTACTGAAGAAGGAACGGAGGCACAGAGAGCCTCAGTAATTTGCCCAAGGTCACACAGCTTTAAGCAGAGAACCACCACCACCACCCCCACCACCTAAAACCACTCACTGATAGTTTTATTCTCTTTTGGTTTTCCCTTTTTAGCAAACACCAAATGAGGAGTGTTTGTTCCTGGAAAGGCTGGAGGAAAACCATTACAACACCTACACATCCAAGAAGCACGCAGAAAAGAATTGGTTCGTTGGGCTCAAGAAAAATGGAAGCTGCAAGCGCGGTCCTCGGACTCACTATGGCCAGAAAGCAATCTTGTTTCTCCCCCTGCCAGTCTCCTCTGATTAGAGAAATCTGTTCCGAGTGCTGAGCACTCCAGAGGAGCCTGAAGGGGTCCTCGCCGGTTGACCCCAGAATGTTCCCTTGACCATTGGCTGCGCTAACCCCTGGCCCACAGAGCCTGAATCTGTAAGCAATGCGCTTCTAAAATGCCGTTCATTTTCTCGCAGAGCCCTTTACCCCAGCACAGTTTGGAACAGAGGGGACCAAATCGCTTCTAGGGGCCAACAGGCTGGTGGGTGTGGGTCTGGTTTGGAGGTCCAGTAGCCTCTGGGCGCCCGCTGCAGGCTGAGTCTCTCAGAGCAAAGGTGGGGCCAAAAGAAGTGCGTTCAGGGGGCCGCCGAGGGGGTCCCTCTGCTGAGTAAAGCCTGTCCGCAGTTCTCCCAGACACCGGCCATGCTCCCTTTCACCCTACCGCACCCCACGAATATTAGCAGAGAGGCTTACGGCTAGGTTAGAGGAAGGCAGCGTCCCGAAAGGGATTAAGATGGCAGGGGGGCTGCCTTCTGGGTCTCGGTGCAGAACCAGCGACGGGCGGAGGCTCGGGCCGGGAAGCGGGCGAAACGCGGGCCCTTGGAAGTCCTCGCGCGGCCTTGACTTTCCGAAGGTTCTTTGGCAACAGGAGCCCCTGGGGGATGTCAGATGTCAGCACGAGAAGCGGGTTCTTGATCAAAAGGCATCGGATGCTGGTCAGTTCATTTGGGCCTGAGGAGTGGGTGTGGGAGCGATGGGAAAGGGAGACGGGGCTGAGGGGTTGTTGTCCTCTACAGAGGATGATTCTAGAAGTGAGAAGGAAAGAGAAGGGACGCCAGGAGGTGTGCTTGGCCACCAGAAAGTAGAGGCTTTGGGGTCCCGGGGCAGTGCTCGTGAACCACGACGGGGGAGCTTGTTTGCATTAGATTCCGGTTCGGTGGACCTGGGGTGGAGTTTGGGCGTTTCTAACAAGCGCCCAGTTGCTGTGGATGTCGCTGCTGTCCCCCTACCGTCCTTTAAGTCTGGGTCCTGCAGGATGTTAGGCCAACGAA